GGGCAGGGGGGGGGGCCTGTCGGGCCCCTGCGCTGCTGAGTGCGGCTGTCGTCGGTGCTCGCCGGTCATACGCCGCTGACGCAGCGGGGGCGGCCTTCGCCGCCGCTGCTGCCGCCGCCACAGGGCGGCCTGCAGGCCCCGCAGCCGCACCCCCACCTGCTGCTGCAGACAAAACGAAAGCACACCAACCCTTTGGCTGCCCTGCCGCCCGCTGTCACCGCCGCTGCCAGTGTCACCGCGCGGCCGCGCTCGGCGTCATCGCCGCTCACCCATGACGGGCGCCGCCAGGTCCTGGTACGGCAGGTTGTACTGCACCTCCTTCGCGTTGGCGGCTGCGGTACAAAATGGGTTCGGTTGATCCATCGGGCGCGGGCGCGGTCGCGGGGAGGGGCGGGTTGCGCGTCACGATGCACAGGCTGCGTGACGGACATGAGTGTGCACTGCCGACGGCAACAGCGAGGGCAAGCCTGAGGGCCTTGTGAGGGCGAGGAAGCAGAGGGCATGCTTTCTCTGCATTATGACAAACCATCCGCTTGCGCCTCTGCGAGCGGCCGCGGCCCGTCGCGCCGGCCGGCGAGCTGCGGCGCGCGAGGAGCGCGCCGGCCGGGGCGCCCGCTGCGCCGCCCCGCGCGCTCACGTAGCAGCATGCGCGTGCTGGCGGACGCCACTGCGCGGTTGTCAACCAGCGCCAGCCCGGTGGTGTCCACGGCCGGCGCCGTGGAGAGGCCCTTCCCGAGCAGCCCCACGGCTGCGCCGGCGCCGGCGCCTGCGCCCCCGCTGCTGCCGCTTCCCCCGGGGCTGCCGGGGCTGCCGGCCTCCGCGTCGCTGCGCGGGGCGGGCGCGCGGGGCGCAGAGGTTTGGGGCGCGGCGCGCGGGCGCGGAAGGGGAGGGGCGGGCGGTCCGTGCTTGGGTGCCGAGTGGTGCGGCGCAGCAGATGCGTGCGCGCATGCGCGCCCACACCAATACTCCAGTGCCAGGCACCCACAGGCGCCCAGCCCGCAAATACGTGGTTTATATCTTTGTTTCGAAATGTGTTAAGCGCACCTGTAGTCCGCTAGGAGGTCCATGGCCGCTGATCAGGGGCCCGCGGCCCCTGCAAGGCCCCCGCTGGTCACCGGAGTATCAAATAACTCTTGGACTCCTAGCTTTACTTCTTTCGTGTTGTAAACGCAGCGAAAGCGTCCCGTGAAAAGGCTTCGAGCTGGCTGATCGCACAGGATGAGCTTGCTGTCGTGTTGTCAATACTAGAATCGCTCTGATTCTCCGGTAGTGCCCATAAGCTACTGGATGACCGCCTGCAGAGGTCGCGAACTTCCAGCGGACGCGTGCCGCGCCGCCTTGCGACCGCCTCACTCGTCACCGCTCTCAGCACAGCTCGTGCTTGCTCTTCATGACCTCTAGAGCTGAACATGTCGTTCATAGTGGTAGTAACCAGCCACCAGCGCTGATTGCACATGCCACTCCGGAAATCGGCGAAGCCAGGTCAATGCTGCTGACTTTTGCAAAGTTGCAGTTGAGCATGTGGAGCAGGTGGAGCGCGCCTCTAATCCAGCTGCCTGACAATCCTGGCCCTGGAATGTCGTGCGTCCAGCGCTTTGCGCGCATTGAAGCACGTGCACTCGAGCAGCGGCCGCTCGCCCCTAAACTACGCATGCGGTCGAGCGCTCCTGGAGTGTCAGCGCAGGGTATTACTTGGGAGCTTTTCGTCCAGAGGGGACAATCATCCTGCTCCAAAAACACAGCCTGCTGCAGTACACACAAATTTAAACGCCTGGGCACCTGCCCCAGCCGCGCAAGGCCCCCTCCCTGCGCGATCAACAAACGGCGCACGCCGCCGAGGTCAGGCAGGGGGCCCGAACCGGGGGCTGCAGCCTCGCGCTCTCTGAGGTGTGCGGACACTCCACAAGGTACAATCATGATAACCCGACCCGAATATGCAATGAGAGGGTTTGAGGGGGTCGTGATGGGATTAATAGACGCAGTGCTCGAGAAGACCTCGGCCGCGCCCCGCTTGAGGCAGCAACGGGTTTGCAACAATAGTTTTGGGCGCTCACGCGCGTTGCCGAGTTTGGTGGACTGGCGCGGGCTGCTGCTGGCGTTCAAAGGAAGGCGGAGGGATCGGTGGATGATGACGTCATGGTGACATCATGGTGACGTGTGCCTAGTTCATGATGCCGCTGGTGATGCCCTTGGCCGTGGAGATGGCGGGGTTGGCGCCCTGGCGCAGGCTGCGCGGTGAGAGGGGCAGAAAGTCGCGGATGCGAGCGTGTCGTCGGTGAAGGGCTGACAAGGGGCAGGTGTGCGGCAAGCACGGCATGTGCAGGTGAGCCCTGCGAAGTGGCGCGCACCATACAACACACGTGCAGTGACACGTGAACATCACGCAGTGGAATGAAACTGAACCCATGCACTCTGCTCGACATCTTGCTCACTT